GGCTGCCTTCCAGCATGGTTTTCCTGGGACCTGTAAAAGTCCAGCAAATTTGCTCTGACACTTTGTTGACATGGAGCTCTTATTTGTTGTTATAAATAAGAACCAGTGTCTCTAGGACACGCCTTACTCTGTGTAACTGAATGGCAGATTTTGTCCCTTCTTAAAAACTAAATGGCAGAGGAGCTGGCTGAATAAAAGCCCTGTGTGTGTTTACCAAAAAGTACTTGAATTTTGTTTGGGTTTAGTGTTCTGGTGCATACAAAGTGAATTTTGGCAGGAGTATGTGCATTCAGAAAATATGTCATCCCATTTTTTTTCTTTATTTGAATGCCACGTGACTATTATTTGATTAAGGTAATTTCAGTGACATATTTTGAAGCAATTCACCTTGAAAGGCAGAGGCTCCGCCCAGGTGCAGAAACCTTCCACGGGTTATGCAATGCCCAGTGTGGGTGAAGCAGAACTCACTCTTCCCCTCTTCGTGAACCGCAGCCCTGCTCTGATCGCATGATAGAAGCTGATGTGCCTGACAAGTGGAAGGAGGAAAAGGAACATTCTTCCTTCCTTTTCTCTGTAATGGCAAAGCTGATGTCATGCTTTACTGAGGGCCTCTGTCGGCACTGGGGCTAGCCTGCAGAAGCCTATGCTCGAAATGGAGCAGCTGACGGGAAATAGGACGGTGTGGTGGTCATCAGTGTGTAGTAAGATTCTAATCACACCCTTCAAGTACAGTTCTACCCTAAAGATCAAGAGTCCCTGTGTTTTTGTTTTTGTTTTTTTATGAATGTGTTCTTTGAGAAATTGAGTCTTGAGTATTTTGTAAGGACATCTAAGCCAGGCGTCCACGTCAGTGCTGACAGCTCTGACCTGGCATGCACATGCATCTGGGGAGAGGCTCACAGACTATAATCGCTTTCACTGGAGCAATGGTAATAGGCCCCAGCTTCACGTTACGGTAGCATCCACCCCTGGTAGCGGCATACCCCTCTGCATGAACAGGGCACCCACTTGTCCCTTTCTTCTTGCTTAATAATGGTTTTTAAAGGGGAGGAAGGCAATCCTGAATGTAGCTCATCAGTATTTACTGTGTAAGTGCTAAAAGAGACAGTGTTTAATGTGTGTATTTATTTAACTTTTCCAATAATGGAGTATGAATTTTTGTTTCACCTGATAGGACATGTTTCAGGGGCTCCATTCTACATTGTAATTTCACTGGGAAAATATTTGATGGCTCATTAGAAGGGAGCATTTATTTTGTTGCTAAAAGGCGTATTTTCAGCCTTGAGAATTGTGTGGCAGGTGGTAATGGCATGAAAATTGACAGCATTTTACCACTTAAAAGTAACCATGAGAAATACCAGTATTCGTCTTATGAGTTGAAGTTAATTTGGTTTTGTAGGCTATTAGGCATTTTACCACTTAAAAGTAACCACAAGAAATACCAGTACTCACTGTATGAGATGAAGTTAATTTGGTTTTGTAACTTGATGCTTGCTGGAAATAATTTTGTATTGGAAATCATTAAAAATTGATTTGATTAATGCTTTTGTAATGTTGGTATGAGATGTTGCACGGTGGTGGCGATGACCTAATGGTGCTGTGATGGCCCCTCCAGGGCCCACAGGCAGGATCCTGCACGCTAGCACACCTCCCAGTTCCTCTTACTATCAATCAGAGGTGTTTCTTCAACGTACCTGCTCCTCCCCTCCACATAAAGGCACCAGCTTTGTTTTGAGATGGAGTCTTGCTCTGTTGCCTAGGCTGGAGTACAAGTTATGCAATCTCAGCTCACTGCAAGCCCTGCCTCCAGGTTTAAGCAATTCTCCTCCCTCAGCCTCCCAAGTAGCTGGAACTACAGGTGCAAGCCACCACGCCTGGCTAATTTTTGTATTGTTAGTAGAGACAGGGTTCTGCCATATTGGACAGAGTGGTCTTGAATTCCTGACTTCAGGTGATCCACCTGCCTCAGCCTTCCAAAGTGGCTGGGATTACAGGCATAAGCCATTTTTGTCTTTGATTGGTGTAATTTCCTTAACCTAAATATTTTACATTGCCCGAACTTTCTGTAATTTTGGCAAGAATGGGATGTTTTGATACCTAGTTCTCTCAACCAACTACAACTTCCATTGACTGGTGAAACACTAGTTTAAGCCAATTGATTTTGACCATCTGCTTTTCTGTACTTGATCCCTATTTTATTTCAAAAACAATTTCCATCTCTCTTCATGAAAACTAATAAGAGCCTTCTGTTTTTGTTAATGGTGAAATTGCCTCATCTTTTACTGTTGTAGAATTTTTTTTTAACATAATGAGAACACGTGGTTAAGGTATAAGTGAAGTTTCCTGGCTTTGCAGTACCTCAGGGAATTCGGTAAACTGTGTTCCATTTAAGGAAAGGAACAGTTGGAGTAGGAGGTAGTGTAAAGATAATGGAGCAAGCAAGCATTTTGCCAGAACCCTCTGAAGTCTCATCCGACTGTGCCCTCATCAGAACCCCTCCCTTCTCCTCTACACCATTTAAAGCCAGCAACCAGTGGGAAGCCCAGAGCTGGCACCATCTTGCTTTCCTGCCAGTTGCCAACATGCGGCACACAGTGTCAGTTAAGGGCACCTCGGCCACACACCCCTCAGGTTTCCCATCTGTAAAATGGGCACAATCATTGTACCTCTGAAGGTTGCTTTGAGGACTAGTCACAGCCTTGGCACAGAGCCCACAGAGAACGAGCACTATGTAAAGACCGGCTGCCAGCCATTAGAACTGGGTGCCTGTCTTTTGGTGTCTGGGCAAAGCTTTAACCTGTTTTATCAGTTTAGAATGCAAACATCTCCCTGGCAAAACAACAGGGGGATGTAGATAGTTTGTGAAGTTTTGTTGAAATGGACTTAGGTTAATGATTCATGGGTAACCTTTCAGAGCTATCAGGTTATGAAACAACTTTGAGTAAGATTGTCTTATCCTTCTGATGACTGTCTTTTCCTTCCCATGTTAGCAGCCGTAGCAGGAGGAGGAGGAGGAGGAGGAGAAGGGGGCAAGTGGCCACACTGCTCTGCTCACATTAAGCAGACAATTTATTGTCAATATTCAGTGAATTTCCTTATATTACAGTTAACTGATATTTATATTAGCTCTAAAATTATAGCGAAATCAGGCCAAGCGTGGTGACTCATGCCTGTAATCCTAGCACTTTGGGAGGCGAAGGCAGATGGATCATTGGAGGGGGAGGAGTTGAGGAGTTCAAGACTAGCCTGGCTAACGTGGTGAAACCCCATCTCTGCTAAAAATACAAAAATTAGCTCGACGTGGTGGCTCATGCCTGTCACCCCAATTACTCAGGAGACTGAGGCAGGAGAATCACTTGAACCTGGAAGGCTGAGATTGTAGTGAGCAGAGATCGTACCACCGCACTCTAGCCTGGGCAAGACAGCAAGACTCTGTCTCGAAAAAAAATAGTGAAATCAGCCAAATAGAGAACAGACAGGCACACTGTCTAACTCCTTATTTAATTGTCATTGGTGTGAGTCACTGGGCCAGCGTGATCAGGTCTAAGAGCTGGATCGCAGGACTGTCGTTATCCTCAAGGCCTTCTGCTGACTGCTGCCCTCAGTAAGACATACAGAATCCATGGGCTTCTCCCCTTAACGCGTTATACTAGGTCTCTCCACATTGAGTTGTAGCAGATACAGCTAAGAAAGCAAAAGAAATGAAAAGCTCATCAAAAGGATTGGGGCTAGTCTCATTCTTCATGCATACCCAAACTGTGGTAACTTTGATTTTTGATTTTTTTTCATTATCCTTTATGCATTGTTTAGAGGAGACAGATGGCTTTCCGGTTCATGAAATTTTTTCAGTTATCTAAAAGGAATTCCTAAGCCTGGAGCAAGTCATTTCTATAAATCTCATTCATATTTACCTGCTGCTTGCTTTTAGATGGAAGAAGAGAATGCTTCTCAAGTACACTTGGAAAGTAGCATCTGTGAATTAGAAACTTTCTCTGTAAACTAGCAGAGTAGAAATAAGAGGCCAGGATTCAGCATGAGGCAGTCTGGATTCCTTCTTGGGTGGCTTGAGCTAGCTATGGGACTGGTCTGATCACATCTAAAGAACTGCTTGGCTTTTATGCGTTTTGAATGTGGTTGAACCAGCTGCATATTTTTACATGAAAGCGGCAAGTAGTCATTGTGTTCCAGTTTTCTTCAGGGGTCATCGAAACATCAGAGGCCATGCCACAGGCACCGTAACTGAGGGATATAGTGTGACCATGGTCTCTGGGACACCCTGAAGTCCAGGCCAGTGACCCCGGAGCTGAATCATGACTTCCCAGAACCTGAGAGGGGACTAGTGTGTGTTTCCAAATGATATTCACCTGGGCCTCTTTTAAGTCGGGAGAGATACAGTATGGTAGACGGGGACCATGAGAGGCATGTTGTATCCAAAAATTAGCAGGACCTGATCCTTGAATGTAGATTCTCAAGCAACTGACTAGATTAAAAAGCAGTATACTCACTGGATTTTAAAAGTGTATGCATTTTTTGTGTGTGAGATGCAGTTTGTAAGATGTATCCATAACTAGGCCATATACTTTTTCCCTTGACTCTCAGTATTCAAGAAGCTCTTTAGTTTTTAGCATTGGATCAATAAACACTTGTTAAAATGTTCCCAGAATTTCTTTGCCACCTTCTCTTTCAACTGGGCCCAGCTATGCCCTCAAACCCTCTGTGGCCCAGCCTGTCTCTTCCCTGACTCATCATGTTCTCCCGGCTTCTACAGAGGCTTCCTTAGCATTCTGCTTAGTAGTAGACACCAAACAGAATCTCCATCCAGGCACACAGGCTCCTGGTCTCCTGGGGCACAGTTACTTGTGTCTCTTGGGGCCTTCCGCCCTCCGCATTCCAGTGCCAGGCCCTGGGCCTTTGTCTCTATTCGTGATAAAACATTTTTAGGAAATGCTGACGCTCAGTGAAGAGATGGAAATGCTAACTCTTTGTTCTCTTCCTAACAGACACGAGACGATTTCCTGGGCCAGGTGGACGTGCCCCTTAGTCACCTTCCGGTAAGGACAGTCTCATGTTTGATGCTGTGTGCTGGGGGTGGGGTTTCTAATTGTTTGTAGTCGGCTATTTTCAGAGTGGTATTTCTTCACCACAGTGGAGAAGACTGAATTGAAGCATGTGTGCTGTGGCCCTAGTCCTTTCTGGAAAGTGGTCCTTTAAGGGGATGGAGGAGAAGCTGGCTGTCAGAGTCAAGGGTGCCTGAGCTGTGCGCGTGCATTCCCTCCACCAGTTCCCTCTCTTTCCTGCACTTCAGCTGCTCTACTTTGTGTATCACATCTTGCAAAACAGACACCTCCTTCCTTCAGGCCTCCCCTCTCGTCACTCAGTGTCTCTGCTTCCTAATGCGTCCTCCGGGTCCCATCAGATGTTTGCCCTCTTTGTCTGGAATTGCACATGCCATTTCTCTCGGATACCTCTACACAGCCTGTGATAGCATTTCCCAGATTTTGGTGTCTGGCTTTCTCTGTGAGCATGGAGACAGAAGAAGAGCCTGTTCATTCTGAGTGAACTTGTCAGCTGGGAACACCCACCCTAGCTGGAACATGTACCGAGTTAGCATGGGTGGTACTGCCGTTTCTCTCTGCTTAAAGTGGCAGAGAAGTCGAGACTATGGACTAGTAACAGGCGTTAGGGCTGTCACCTGAAACAGGAGGCAGTGCAGGGAGACTGGGGGGTAAGACCCGGAAGCCTTGAGGAAGGCGGAGCAGCATCTCCAATTCCAGCCTCAGTTTCCACCTTGTCCCAGACTTCCTCCTGGCCTTCCTCCCTGGGCAGCACAGGGCGAGAGAAGTAGCAGCTGGGAGAGGAACGGTGAATGCTTCTGCCTTACAAGGCCATTGTGTTATTTTTTTAAATGCTTTGTGTGAGCAAGTGGCATAAATAGTCTATAAACTAAAGCGACTTAACCCCCTAGCATAAGCTTCCTGCTGTTTGGAAATTGTGGCTGTTTCCATATGTTAAATACCAAGAAAGACTGTATCTTTCCAAGGAAGCTTTGAAGCTGTGTTGTGAAGGAAGGTGATAGCAAGTAATTTACTCTTACTCACTCAGGGGAGCTGTTAAGGAAGAAAGCTTGCAAGGTTCCAAAGGATTGGAAGTGAAAGTGATATTCTTAAAATATTTTGTTTATTTCTTTATAAAAATCTGAAGCTCCTGGGTGACACGAGGGGGCCTGCGTGGGGATTCTTCGTGAGACCTATTCCATGAGCCATCAGAAACCTGACTGGTCTTTTCCGGTCACATTGGGAGGATGCGACTGTTTCACCTTTTGTGAGGAAAGACCTCACATGCTTCTCTACCAGGAGGTCTTCTGTTTATGTTCTTCAGGCTGGAGCTGTGATTGTCTCACTCTTTTAGACCGTGTTGGTTGATGGGCCAGCTATTTCGTGGACATCTCCAGCCATCCTTTCCCTAATGTAAAAACCACATCTTGGCCAAGGGAAATTATTTTCAGAGAGGCAAATATTCTAATATTCTATAAGAGACAAAGGGACATGGTTAAAAAGCTTGCTCCAACAAGCTTTTGTCTGCGTGACCGAGTGGTGCTTGGTCTTGAGAGCTTGAGCAGGGCTCCCGGAGAATAGAAGAAGACTCTTCCGAGACCAAGTCAGCCCAAGGAAGAGTTTAGCTTTAGATTGCGAGTGGAGGCAGGGTCAGTGAGTCTTCAAAGAAGGAAGTGGTGCAGAGGCACAGAGCAGGAATAGAAGCTGGGCGTTTTCAGAGGTGGAGCTGTGAATGCCCTCTAGAGAGGACTGGGCGCTCCTAGTTACACATGTGCCCAAAGGGAAACTTGTGGTGGAGTGCTGTCACCTCCATACTTAAAACTGACTAGCTATTTGCAGCCAACTACAGTCAGGGAGACAGACCACAAAGAAAACAAAAGGAGAGGCGTGACGATATGTCCTTTATTCAAGTAGCATGTTCTGAATGCACGTGGCTTTTGAATTCAGGATTACAGGTGCTCTCATATGTATGTTTGGTCACGTGTATAGGATGCTAGTGGGGAAATTACAGTGGCATTCTGTTTTGTGTGATAGCATGCAAGTGTGAGTATTTAAAGAGGGTGGGAGCTTGTGAATATATCTTGTGGAGTGAATTGTGAATGCTGTGTTCTTGGTTGGTACATGACCATTGTCAAGGTGGATTATTTACAGTCTGTAGATTCAAAATTTGTCAAAACCAATTTTAGATAAAAAGGCAGACCAGGCATGGTGGCTCATGCCTGTAATCCCAGCACTTTGGGAGGCCAAGGCAGGAGGATCACTTGAGTCCAGGAGTACAAGACCAGCCTGGGCAACATAGCAAGACCCTGCCTGTGTGGAAAAGCTTAAAGATTAACCCAGCATGGTGGCACATGCCTGTTGTCCCAACTATTTGGAAGGCCGAGGTGGGAGGATCACTTGAGCATGGGAGGTCATTGCTGTGGTTGTACCACTGCACTCCAGCCTGGGAGACACAGCAGGCTCTCCTTTTGCTTTTACATTGAGAGACCAAGAGCAAACTTAGCGGTAACTGGACTGTCATTGTTGACTTTTTTCAACTACCATTTTCACATGTGTCTGTTAAATTCAGTGAATCGTTGCCTAAAAGTTCATATATTTGATAATTCATATCTATTAATTATTTAGAGATAAAGAGAACTTCAAGATCTGTATTAACAGAGAGATATCTGGCAGCCATCTGTCTGTTGCACCTGCCTCTTGACTTGTCAGCTCTGCCTCCCCTTCCCCTAGAGCCCCCAGCAATCCCACCTTTGCCCAGCCACAAAATTTCTTCATCCCTGGGAAAGGCAGTGGGGCAGTGCAGAGAGACTAGGGGGTAAGACCCTTGTAATTGTAACCACAAGGACTGGTATATCATGTTGTACCTGCATGGTGTTCACATAATATTGCTCTCAAGTTATTTGTTGGTTGGCAGGGCATGGTGGCTTGTGCCTGTAATCCCAGCACTTTGGGAGGCCAAGGCAAGAGGATCTCTTGAGTTCTGGAGTTCGAGACCAGCCTGGGCAACATAAGAAGACCCTCATGTCTATGAAAAATAAAGATATTAGCCAGGCATAGTGGCACACACCTGTGGTCCCAGCTACTTGGGAGGCTGAGGTAGGAGAATCACTTGAGGCTGCAGTGAGCTGATTGGGCCCCTGTGCACCAGCCTGGACAGAACAAGACCCTGTCTCTAAATAAAGAAATAAATGTTGGTTAAATAAATGAAAAGAGGAAAACCAAGAGTAGTTTTCTTAATAAATTTTCCACTGTAAATGATATATGTTTACAAACCTTTTAGTAGAAAATATTTTCAAAATATATGTTTGTTACTGCCTCATAAGAACAGTCTAGAAAATATAATTTACTTCATTCAATGATAGTGAATTTTGAGAGCCTCAGTAATTTAATACAGATCAGATGAATTGAGTGCTTACATGAGTACATACTTGGTGCCAGGCACTGTTCTTGGCACCAATGATACAATGGCGAGCAAATTCAAGTCTCTTCCCATGAGCTTACATTCTGGAAGTGATGGTTGATAAACTAATATGTCAACAAATGAACAGGTAGTTGCAGACCATGATATGAGGACGATACAGCAGGATGATAGGTTGGGGGGTTGATAAGGACGGCTGATGGTGGGAACTCTGAGGATGTGAGCTGTGATCTCACCCTTGGATGGCAAAGTGGAGACAGCCATGCGCCATCTGGAGTCAGAGCTGTCCAGCAGAGGGACTTGCCCGTGCATGGGCCCTACCACAGGACATATGATTTGCATCCATGGCAGATGAGGCCAGGATGGTTGGGAGTTCAAGGAAGAAAGAGAGAGACTGGTTCACAATGAGGTAAAAGATAATTGAAGCCAGATTATAGTTGACCTTCTAGGTCATAGGAGAGAATTTTAAGTTTATTATGAGAGGAGTAGGAAGCCATTGAGAGTTTAAGGCAGAGAATGACATAAACAGATAATATTTCAAATAGAAGCGCAGACGGACGTACACTTGTGTGCACGCACACACAAGCCTGAAAATCATTGGACTGTGGTTTATCTCTCTTGCTACAAAAGTATTTGAAATTGTGTTTCATCAAAGGGTCTAGATATCTGAGGTTTCATTGCATATAGAGCATCTAAAAATTAATGAAATAGTCACACTTATTTTTCCAGTTTCCCACTTTGGTAGGCCAACCAACTTCGCACAATAAAATGAACACTGATTTCTTTAAAAATGAACAGAAGTTTCATGAACTAAGCTTCAACAGAAGGCTGACTGGTGCTGCTGCCTGGGGTGATCCCTGTGTAGGAGATTGTCTTTCAATTCTCCTAGGCTGATGATGTGAGATTTTAATGTGAAAAATAAAGTTGACCTCAAAGATTAAATCTTGCATGTTCCTCTGTTTACTCCACTCATATGTGTCTTGAGTCACAGGCATAGAGCAAGGCACCGGTGGCCGCTGGTTCTCCGAAGTTAATCAGCTCTGTGAGACCAAGGCCACACCCTGCAGTTAGAAATTATACTTGGCAATGACAGCTATAATTTTGTCATTTGTCTGTGGCTGGGGTTGGTCCCTAAAACCCGGTGTAGATGGTGACATCTAGTGGATCTCTACTAGATCCATTCCGTCGACTGTCAGGTACCAAGTGAAGAACCACATTCAGCGGTGCCACATGCTAAAATTCAAAATGTACTCTCTGTAATCCAGCTGGGTGTATCTAAACATGAAATTATCAGGAATATTAAAACTTAATGTATTGTTTTCCCCCACAGACAGAAGATCCAACCATGGAGCGACCCTATACATTCAAGGACTTTCTCCTCAGACCAAGAAGGTGAGGCTTGTGGGTATATGTGGGTGGGATGCCTGCTCGGCGTGCCGTGGTGGTTGGCTTTTGCTGAAGACGACTTTAAGTGTAACCTTTCAAGTCATACCTCTTCTAACCAATTTTCTCCCATTATGCGTGCAGCCATAAATCTCGAGTTAAGGGATTTTTGCGATTGAAAATGGCCTATATGCCAAAAAACGGGGGTCAAGATGAAGAAAACAGCGACCAGAGGGACGACATGGAGGTATGTGGACGTGTCGGGACTCGCTCTTTGCCTTAACATCATACTCATTTTTACTTTCAGACTTTATAATTGAAGGAAATAAAAGTTTAAAAGACTTAAATATGAAAAAAACACACATATGTCCACACATTGGTCATTGATATTCTACCGGTACATTTATTTGTTTTGGTTGAAGATGAACTTCTTATGTTACAACACCAGTCCTCGAAGGGATTGCCATCTAGACAGTGCTACGCCCGTTCCCTGCTGTTAGTTGCACAGCTCCGTGAACGTTTCACACACTGAATTCTGTTCTGGCTGTGGACTTTCAACTCCTTGTAAATCCCTTTTAGCCATTGAAGTTGCTTCAAAGTGGGTGAAGGAATCTAGAAAATCAGTTTTTCCCAAGTTTCTTACTCATTTGGCCATAGGTAACGGCCTGCGGTAGAAAAACTCTCCTCCAGAAATCCCATTCTGGAACGAGCTGGCCAGAGGAACGTCCCTTTTCTCCTGCCGGACAGAGCCGCCCATATTTGCCTTGTCACAGACTGATGCTGTGCGCCCTGTCGTACCTTTTCAGCACACACCTCAGACACTGCTTTTTTGTTAGACAAATTCTCATATTCTCAAAGTGACCATTAAACGAGGCCTCCCTAGGGCTTATGCTCACATCTGTTTGCAGCTGTTGCGTATATGTGATATATGAATAACGTGTTGTGGAGAAGTTAACCGAACCCCCTCCGCCTGAGAGGTCATATTTCCAGGCATTATTTCCTTTACGCGCCTTCACCTCTCCATGTACACGAAGGGGACTAATGTGGGTGGCAGACGTTTATGGATGTTAACGTTTCATAAGCACATCAACAGATTTTCATCTCAAATCCGAGGAATGTTGTACACCCTTTTGCCTTCCAACTGCAGTAACCAATGAGTGACTTAATTTTCCAGTGATTTTAGCAGAGGATGCTAGGAAGGGAATACTTAATGCCTAAAATATGTGCTGTAAAAATGGAACTCAAATTTTGGTACCGTGAAACCCGTTGGTGTGGACACAGCCAGTGTAGAGGGCCTGCGGAGAAGGCAGCAGCTTCCAGACTTCTGGCTCCTGCAGTCTGGGATGCAGAGAAGAGGCTTCTCTCTCAAAGCCCCGCCTCCCTGGGGAGCAGCAGGGCTCCAGGGCTCTGGTCCCCTGCGCCATGATTTCCGTTAGAACACAGGTGCAGCGCAGCTCATCTTCCCTGCTCCCTTTACCTCATGGAGGTGTTGAAAAGATGACAGCTGTAATGTGACGTGCACCATTGACAGGGCTTTGTACAGCCTTGGAGGCCCTCGAGTCAAAATAACAAACATGAGATATGGAAAGAGTATGTTGTGCCTTGAGTTGTGTCATTGGCCGTGCATATCCAAATCAATGTTGCCCTGTAATAGTCATCTTAGAGGGCAGCACAATTCACTGGCCATTACACAAAAGATTTTTGAGACCTTTCTACAATCGGTTTTTTTGGGGGAGGGACCCTTGTTTGGGAATTTACTCAAATGTGGCCACAAAGCCATGGCGAAAGCCAGAGAGCCCCAGAGCAAGGAGAAAGGCACACAGGGCACTCTGCGATGACCTCTTACAGCTGAAGAACCGACCTCATAACCAACCTTTAACTTTATTCCGCAGCATGGATGGGAAGTTGTTGACTCAAATGACTCAGCTTCTCAGCACCAAGAGGAACTCCCTCCTCCTCCTCTGCCCCCCGGGTGGGAAGAGAAAGTGGACAATTTAGGCCGAACTTACTATGTCAACCACAACAACCGGACCACTCAGTGGCACCGACCAAGCCTGATGTGAGTACCATGCGATGGTCGGGAACACGTGCACATGCACTGCACAGCTAGGGACAAACATGGCGGCCCTCTGGGACAAGGCTGGGAAATAAATCATATGCCAGTAGGAGCAGATGGTGGTGTGGTATGAGATTCCTCTCCGTTTACATAAAGCACGCGAGAGCAGTCAGAACTTGTATATTTGTAAGTGATTGCCTCTGAATCACATGCTGCTGTTTTCAATATGAGCTGGTTTATTTTCTGTGTCTTTTTTCATGTCAATTCCTGAAATATAAAGGAGAGGTTGTTTTTCTTAGGCTTACCTTACATTTGTTGATTATATTGTTCTTTTCTTCTTCTCCTTTCTCTCCCAACTGACCCAGAATAGAACAGCAAGCAAATTGGCTCTGCAGTTTTCTGTTTTCTTTAAGCTTTTGGATTTTTACTCTCTTCAATGAGTTTATTTGAAAACCTTCTCCAAAAAAAATTTTATAAGGAAATTTTACCCCCTTAATATAATAAAACACACATGGGAGAGTTGCAAAATCAGAATTAGTAATTACTGTCTATTGTAATCCCTCACCAGCCTCGGGGATGCAGTAAACCATTCCTGTTTTGTTCCCTCAGCAATTTGTGGTTTAATTGATGGTAAATAAACTCTGGTTAAAACTCATGGACTTTAAAAATGGTTTTGTAGCAGCTTGTTTTTAAATCAGTTTATACAGCAAGACCTAAATCTGTTGATATACATTAAAGGGCAAAAACAAAGCCTTAAGGAAAAGGAATTTTATCTTCGAAATTATGAGCTGCCTAGCAGCCAAGACAAGGAAGAAATTATCAGTGAACTATGTAACTTTCAGTACATAATAAAAGCAAGTCTATTGGGTAGTATAATTTTCTTATCTACTCGAACTCTGAAAGAAATTGGCTAATGATACATTTTAGACAACAAGTGGCATGATGTATCATGTTCTTAAAAACCTTTTATCTTTAGAAATTGCAAAGATACTCTATATATGACTGTGGGTGGGAGGGTGGCCAAGTTTTCTGCTCTAGGTTTTGTTTAATTTAGAGAGAAAGCTTGCCGAATCTGAAAACAATGAATGGCCTGTCTTTCCTGAGCCCCCAAGTGGGTTCTTGTGAATATCAGCTGTTCTTGATCAGCTTTGGACTACCCAGCGTGGGCATTAGCTCAGGACAGCAAAAATATCAGAGCAGCTGGATAATGCTGAACTGTCTTTTGTTAAAAATTGTTCCCTTGTAAATAGTTTGGTTGATTCATATATATATATATATATATATATATATATAATTGGTTACTATTTCCTTTTGATTAATTACCATAGCTATTAGAATTGTTGTGAGCCATTGTAGCTAAAATGTAAAAATGAATTTGGACCCACCTTGGACTTGGTTACATGTAGTGACCGGAAGAATCTTACTAGCAATATACTAAGCAAAGCACCATTATCTGCCTTTGTTCAATAGCATGAAAAAGGAGTACCTGGAAAGGTAGCTTCTTATGTGACCTCTGCAGAAAAGTGTCCAGGAGCAACTCACACAGGAAAAAATCCTGACAGCTAATACATATATGGGAAAATGTTGAAATTGATAAATAAGGATCATGCAGATTGGAGGCTGTATTTTGGGGACAAATGGAGATAACTGCTACTTTCTCTGCCTCACAGAGTTGTGAAACTAATGAGGGAATTCTTGAGAAAACACTTCATACATTTTTTAATACATAACTATTTTTTTATGGTTCCAGAGATATATACACATAACCCCGTGCTCATCAAGAGATATACATTAAACATGAACAACTTTTTAATGTGTTGATTAGACTTTAATAAAGTAGTTTAAAAGAGAAACCATCTTGGGTGGCAGTGTCTCAGAAACTAAAACGAAAGGTATAACTTGCTGTCTCTTCACTAATCTAGAGCAACACGGGAAAAATGCAGTTCTTTTTCTGTTTGTTTCCTAAGACAGAGTCTCACTCTGTTGCCCAGGCTGGAGTGTGGTTGGCACCATCTCGGCTCACTACAACCTCCAGGTGATTCTCCTGCCTCAGCCTCCTGAGTAGCTGGAGTTACAGGCACCTACCACCGTGCCCAACTAATTTTTGTATTTTTGTAGAGACGGCATTTCACCGTGTTCATCAAGCTGTCCTCAAACTCCTGACCTTAGGTGATCCGCCTGTCTCAGCCTCCCAAAGCACTGAGATTACAGGTGTGAGCCACTGCACCTGGCCAAAAAATGCAGCTCTTAATCCAGGTTCAGGTTCACATGTAGTTTTGGGAGAAGGCAGAGGCATAGCTGCCCCATCAGAGAGGCAGCAATGCCAAAGGGAGAGGCTGAGCCAGGAAGGACACAGCAGAACTTGGTGGAACCTGAGGAGTGCCTCCTTCCAATGAACATGACTTCCAGAAGGCAAGAGGAAAGTTAGTTAAGGAAAGTTTCCACCACCTCTGCTAGCAGGCTCTTTATTGGGATATGGCATAAGTTCATTTCAGAATGTGTAAGAAAACGTTAAAATTTGTGTTTTAGAAGGAGTCTATAATGAATGTTCTTGATAAGTACTATATTTCAGTTAATCTGAAATAAAGATTTCAACTTTTGAGATATTAACTTGTGCAGTAGTTTTCATTAACATGATATGCTGTCTTATTGAAGGATCTGTGAGAGTTTTCCCTGAAAACCTTTTTGGCATTTAAACTTGTACAGTAAAAGCCTCTGACTAGTATTTCCCCCAAAGAATGATTGCCTTTAATTTACTGCAAAAAAAAAAAGTTGGTTTGTTTTTGTTTTTGTTTTGAGATGGAGTCTCACTCTTCTGCCCTGGCTGGAGTGCAGTGGTGCAATTTCATCTCACTGCAACCTCCACCTCCCGGGTTCAGTGATTCTCCTGCCTCAGCCTCCTGAGTAGCTGGGACTATAGACACATGCCACCACACCTGGCTAATTTTCGTATTTTTCGTAGAGATGGGGTTTCACCATGTTGGCCAGGCACGTCTTGAACTCCTGACCTCAAGTGATTCACCCACCCTGGCCTCCCGAAGTGTTGGGATTATAGGCGTGAGTCAGCATGCCCAGCCCAAAAAAGTTTTCAAAATTGAATCAAAACTTTTAGATCCTGAATCGAGAGCATCACATGACAAAAAAATACGATGTGATGTTGTGGTGGTCTTCAGATCTCAGCTGACTTGAGAGTTACTAGGATTTTTAAAGTAGGATAAAGAGGAGAAATGCAGTGTCACAATTTTGCGATTCTGTCAAAATGAGCTAGAAAGCAGCTGAAAAGAATTCACGTTGGATCAGATGTACTTCCCTCTAGATGGCAGCTTTGAATTTGTACCTTATGTAGTCTTTGGTCAAATTGCTGGTGACCAAAAGTAGCTGCCTTGTCGTTGCCAGCCTTCTAGAAGGATTGGGACTGCCCAGCTGCTGTGTGAACTCGCCTTCCAGAGGCCTGACTTGTCACTGTGGCACATGGGTGGAGGACTTTGATTTCTGTTTTTTATTTAACACTAAGGTATATTTTGAAATATATGCCTGAAAGATACTCAGAATGGTGTAATGTATTTTAAAACTGCATTTATTTGATTGCAGTGAACTTTAACCTATACTTCAGCTGTGATACGGTGGGAGAATTCTCACATTGGATGACCAGCTAGTCAGTGTTTTATGCTGACACTTGAGTGGGCATCTGGCCCTCTGTGACACTGGACTGTCGTGAAGGGCCCCATCTCAACCACTTCTTCTTCTCTTCTTCTCCTTCCCCCTTTCCTGCGTGCTCAGGGACGTGTCCTCTGAGTCGGACAATAACATCAGACAGATCAACCAGGAGGCAGCACACCGGCGCTTCCGCTCCCGTAGGCACATCAGCGAGGACTTGGAGCCTGAGCCCTCGGAGAGCGGGGATGTCCCTGAGGTACGATGTCCCCAGAATGCTGCAGAGCCCTGCAGCTCCTTCTTTACATGTTCTCCAGACTGATTTTATATCATCATTTCTTCTCTCAGTAAATGTTGTTGAGAATGTAAAGATTATGGTGACACAGTGAATTAATTACCATCTGGATATTAATTAATTTGAAAGTGCTATAACAGCTGTATTTGACAAGTACATGTGGCTCTATTATTGATAGAAATGGGAATGACATTATTGTTGTTTTTTTTCTTCCAAGACGGAGTCTTGCTATGTTTCCCAGGCTGGCGTGCAGTGGTGTGATCTCGGCTCACTGCAACTTCTGCCTCTCAGATTCAAGCAATTCTCCTGCCTCAGCCTCCTGAGTAGCTGGGATGATAGGCGCATGCCACCACACCCAGCTGATCTTTTTGTATTTTTAGTAGAGACAAGGTTTCACCATATTGGTCAGGCTGGTCTTGAACTCCTGACTTCATGATCCACCTGCCTTAACCCCCCAAAGCGCTGGGATTACAGGCATGAGCCAATGCACCTAGCCAACATTATCTTTCAGTATGAAAATCTTAAGATATTTTCACTTTGTAATTTATTTTTCACCAGGGTCCAACCATGTTTCATTAAATGACGACTTAGTTATCATAGTTGAGCTGTTGAATGAGCCCTATAACTTGTTTGGATATCACATGCACATTTTTAGTGAGTCGCTTTGACACCTTGAAAGAAATTTATTACCATGAAAATAAATTTGGGTGAATAGAAATGTTTACAATTTTCCCTTTAAGTAGCTATGATATATTACTTAAAACATTATGAATTAAACAGCCAATTAGCCATAATTTTCCGTGATGTCTTATCAGCTCCGTTTATGTACTAAAAATCCATTCTTTTTAGACATTGTGTTAGGAAGATCATTCACAATGAGGTGATTAAACTTGCAGAAGCAAAAGTAATGACTCCATAGTAAATTCACTCTAAGTTACTTTACACCATTGTTTAATTACAACGCATAGCTTCTATGCTGCTCTCGGTGTAATCGTCAGCTGTTAAAAGTAAAAGATAGTCCATGTCAAGAGAAAAGTGTGTGTGTGTGTGTGTGTGTGTGTGTGTGTGTGTGTGTGTGTGTGTGTGTTTTGGCCCATGCATAAAGTAGCAAGTGCTGGAAATCAGTCACTATTCAGAGAGGTGGTGGCATAAAGTGGTTACGAGCACAGCCTCTGTGTGGAAAGAGGCCTCTTTAGTTCACATCATGGCCCTACCAGTTGCTAGCTATTACCTTGGGCAGGTTATTCTCTGTGGCTCAGTTTTCTCATCTGTTAATTGGGGGTGTAGTCTTATCTTCCTCTCAATTATTGTGAAGGTTGTAAGAGGCACTTAGTAGGTATTATAGTTATCACTGTGGCTATTGTTGTTACATGCTTTTGTTGGGGAGCTGGGCGGATCCCCATTTCCTAGCATTTACCCCAGTGTCTCCTTCTCTGAAAGCCTTGGGAGACCATTTCAGAAGAAGTGAATATCGCTGGAGACTCTCTCAGTCTGGCTCTGCCCCCACCACCGGCCTCCCCGGGATCTCGGACCAGCCCTCAGGAGCTGTCAGAGGAACTGAGCAGAAGGCTTCAGATCACTCCAGACTCCAATGGGGAACAGTTCAGCTCTTTGATTGTAAGTATTGGTCTTGTTCGAAAGAAAAGCTGAGCAACGTTTCATTGTTTTTTGTTGCTTTAGGAGAATCTTTTATGTAAATAGTGACCAGGGGCCTTCCAGCTCCCAGTTAACTCACATTTTCCAAAGTTCCTCCTTCCCTAGGAGAAGCAGGAGTATACTAAAATTAGCCTAAGCAGGTGAGAATCTTTCTTGATTTGGAAGGCAGCTTTGCTCACCCCATACCACTAACACTTTCTTGGTTTATAAAGAACTCAAAGAAATAAAACTCCATGATGCCTGTAAATGTTAGCGTCAACCTTGTAGAATCCTTTCCCAGCCAAAAGGCTCATGGCAATAGTACCTTAACACAAACCTAGGATGTCACAGTACCAATTAAAAGCCATCAGACCTAATCAGTTCTCTTAAGTCATGTTCTGCAGGCTTTATAATTCTCATTTCACTGATAAGGGCATGAGGCTTAAGTGGCCCATCCAAGACAAGGTTTGAATGGGAGATGGAAGACATCTCCCAAGTCCCAGAGTATGAACCCTTGAGAAAGATTGTGAAATTGTGACACTGTCATCAAGGTAGCATTTTAGCTTGGGCTCTCAACCATCAGAAACATACTTTCTAGAAGTTTCAGATGGGTCCAGTGCCTGAGCCCAATGAAATCAGTCACAAAGACATCCATGTTTGACAATTCAGAACGGTGCAGAAATAACCCATGGAAAATCACTGCTTGTGCATAGAATTAAGAGCAAATGAAGTCTCAGTGTTTCTCAAGAAACTGAACTAAAAGATGTATGCTAATAAATGATGGTAGTCATTCCACTGAAAACGGCATCCTAGAAAAAATAGTCATTACGATGACCATAACGAACATAAATCATAGCACTGCATACAATGTAAAAGCAAATAAGTACTTACAAAATTACTGCTTTGTGGTTATGGTGTTTTTATTTTAAAAGACACTGTAGGCCTCTGTTACATGAGTTGCATTTATTATTTAGCTGATGTGATTTCACATTAAAATTCTGTGACTTTTTCAAAAAGAGATGTGTCACTGAGATGAAAATGTAGTACTAAATGGACAGGATAAAAGAGATTGCGTGTATATGGGTTATTTGAATTGGTAAAACTATTGTTACAGAAACAACATAAGCAATGAAGCCCTATATTTAAAATCTATGAAACCAAGGAATTACCACAGAAACCATGGCAATAACACACCTTTAGTCAACCAAGTGAAAAACATTGTAATTTTCTTCAGCATTAATAATAAGTTAGCCATTCTAGTTCTTTGAATGGGAAGCTCCTGCATTTAATAATTCTAGATGCATCAAATATACTTAAGACCAAAGTACAACACTGTATTATTTTCACATCATGTTAAACCGTTAAATAAGAGTTAAATAGGAGACTCTTCTCCAGTTTTGCTTATCAGGATTACTCTGTATTCAAGATCAAGAACATGAACTTTGACTGGGCATGGTAGCTCACGCCTGTAATCCCAGCACTTTGAGAGGCTGAGGCAGGCAGATCACCTGAGGTCAGGAGTTCAAGACCAGCCTGGCCAACATGGTGAAACCCTGTCTTTACTAAAAATACAAAACTTAGCCAGGTGTGGCGGGGTGCACCTGTAGTCCCAGCTACTCAGGAAGCTGAGGCATGAGAATTGCTTGAACCCGGGAAGCGGAGGTTGCAGTGAGCTGAAATCGCACCACTGCACTCCAGCCTGGGTGACAGAGGGAGACTTTTATGAAAGACTCATTCCTTCACAGTAACCAATGTGGGAAGACATGAATTGTCCCCCTTCCCTACCACAGAGTCTTATACCATTTACTTATCGCAGAATATTAAAAATGAGTAAATACCAGAAACTGATACCGTGGATAAACTTGCTGATAAGGAGACTCTGTCTTCTGTGTGTGATCTGCTGCTAATCCTCATTCATGTCAGTTAGGCTTCATTTAACCACATAGACTAAGTGAGAGGAACACTTAGGCAAACGAGAGGAACATTAGACACTATACACTAGATTTCTTTTTAGCTTGATCTCACTATTTTTAATCATTCCTATCTTTACTCCTTGAACTCCACTTAGAAGCCAAAATTGGCAGGGCACAGAGGTTCACACCTGTAATCCCAGCACTTTGGAAGGCCAAGGTGGATGAATCACCTGAGGTCAGGAGTTCAAGACCAGCTTGACCAATATGGTAAAACTCTGTCTCTACTAAAAATACAAAAACTTAGCCAGATGTGGTGGTGGGCGCCTAAAATCCCAGCTACTCAGGAGGCTGAGGCAGGAGAATCACTTGAACTCAGGAGGCAGAGGTTGCAGTGAGCCAAGATCATGCCACTGCACTCCAGCCTGGGCAACAGAACAAGACTCTGTCTCAAAAAAAAAAAAAAAAAAAAAAAGAAGCTAAAATTATAAATACCTTATCTTTCGGAAGTAGGGCAAGATGATGTCTGAGCATCCTCAGAATATAGGATGCAACTGACTCTTTGTAATAATCAATAAATGTTGAGTAGCCACATATCACTATTTCTTCCTTGTTTGACATCACATTAAAATGTACCCAGAGGGTGCATCTTAAAGCAGACTAGAAGACTGCTGGCTTCTTTCTGTTTGTAAAGCCCCATTAGAGCGTTGCAGAGTCCTGTTGAGTCTCCTTTCTGAAAGGTTTTGTCTCCTCTTGCTTTTGCCATTTATTCTAAGGACCAATCAGAATTCCAGTCTGCATAACTGAAAATTAAAGTGGAAGATGACTTTTTAAAGGATGACTGTCCTTGCTCTGGAAAGATGTTTCATTTAATTACCTTCTAATATCGAACAGTGGTGAATGAGATTGAGTGATACATTTATTAAACCAATGGAAGTAGCTTTTAAGAATATATTTCTTGATGCTTCCTGTCTTTTTCTCTTCTTCCAGCAAAGAGAACCCTCCTCAAGGTTGAGGTCATGCAGTGTCACCGACGCGGTTGCAGAGCAGGCTCATCTACCGCCGGTAACCCACGCTAATTTCCAATCATCAGTTGGTGCTTTTGGCTTTCATTTACAACCATCTGGGCTGCTGCAAAAAGAGTTTTTCCTGTGTACATTGTGTTTATCATATAAATGAGATGTTTTTAAATTTCCTGGCAAATTGCCCTAGAAAAGTAGATTTCCAATACAGAGAATTGTTATTGTCACCCAACTCTAAAATGCTGAAATCTTCATTCCTTTAGTTTGTCACCCAAATTGATACCCATTTTGATTTGCTCACTTATGTTTCTTGGTGCGTTAGTAATTCTTTGTACTTTATTGAGTTACTATTGTTACGCTCCAGTGATCTGTACTTTGAAAACACATTCCCGTTAACCAGGAAGAACTCTTCTGGGTGACCATCCACATGTTCCTTTACGTTCCTAATGATCTGAACTCTGAACTCTGAAAGGCCTCTGTACCTTCTCTTTAAAGGCAGCTGTACTCACCAAGAATTTGCTATAATTCGTTCCAACTCGTTCATCATTTTAATAGCTATCAGCAAATGTAGAAGTGCAGGGGATTTCATAACAACTGATGTATGTAAAAGTAAATACTCAAGTTGGAAGGCAGAGTAGAAGTGCCTTGAGAGATGTTTGATGTACGCTTTAAAAATAAGAAATTTTACATAAATTTGTTTCTTCTTTTGGAGGTGACAATATGTGGTTTTAATGTGTTCAATTTGATGTTTCACCTTGACAGTTTTTGTCTGTTGTCACAAAACCTTGATCATTTTTAAGACTAATAATGTATTATGTATGAATTTGAGGGGGGAAAAGTACATTTAAGGTTTTTGAAATCACAGTGTCTTCCCTCTCATGTATGTTTTTTCTTGATTTCAAAGGATATTTTGGCCTAGGTTTTATTTTTTTTTTATGTTTGTGAAAAAATTAATGAGTATACTCGTCAAGAAAGCAGTCAAAATAATAGATTCAGTTGTGACTTATCACGGGAGAGACCTTAATCATAAGCTTGATAAGAGCTACTTTTCTGGGATGGTTCCAGTACAGGGCCCCAAAAACGAAACAATCAACTGTGATGGACTGGTGGGGTCCTTCTCAACCTCATGATTCTGTGATTTTCCTTGAATGCATGGCACTTTCTCTCCCTTTCAAAATCAACGTCAATTTTATTTCCCCAAGAGCTCACTTTCCTGAAAACTGGTGATTCCTCTCTTTCTTTGTACCCTGTGATGCTGTCAACTCACTGATCACCAGTGGCCTCTTAAATTTTGAGTGTTGGCGAATTTTAGAATCTGCCAATGATTTGACAGTGGGGGACAAAACCAGAAAAGCTTTTTATTTTTCTCCTCACTTTTTTGAGGTTGTCGTTGTTCACCCAGATCAAGGATGAGCCACCTCGGGTGGCGTGGGGGTCACACTTCCTTTGTGCTACTGGTCATCAGCGACTGCTCGGCTTTGTCTGGACAGGGTGGGTTTCAGGGGTTCTGAGCTCATGTCACCTGCCTTACAGCACTGCCACAGCGGTGGCCCCTGATTCAGCAAGCAGTGGGTCATCCCCTAAGTGCATTTCACTGATGTAAATTATCATTCACAGCCCAGTGCCCCAGCTAGGAGAGCACGTTCATCAACTGTCACGGGTGGTGAGGAACCAACGGTAATGATCCCCTTTGCCAGACACCCATGGCAGGAGGCTGTGGGCAGTCTTAATATTCGTGTAGTGGTGACTATACTCTCTTTTTAAATGTAAGATTGGCTCCTTTGTGCCACAGAGCTGCACACATTTCTTATTTTAAGCTTCTCATTCCTGGGATTGTTTAAAGAAAGGTTTTAGGTAAAATAGAATGACATTTAGTCCCACATAATTTTATTAGGAATACTAACAGGCTTTGGTTAAGTACACTTAACTTGACCATTTAGAAGATATTTTTGCCTTTAGTATCTGTACTCCTGATAAGCTTTTCCTTTTCATTAGGATGCTTGGTTAAAATCATTTGGTTGGAAGATAATCAGAGAAGCCACGGGAATTGCATGAGATTGTGCGTGTGATCCCTGGGTGTGCCCAGGGCCGTTCTCTTTTCTGTATCTCCCCTACCACTTTTTTTTTCTTTGAGTTGGAGTTTTTGTCTTGTTACCCAGGCTGGAGTGCAGTGACATGATCTCGGCTCACTGCAACCTCCACCTCCCGGGTTCAAGCGATTCTCCTGCCTCAGCCTCCCGAGTAGCTGGAATTACAGGCACCTGCCACCATGCCCAGCTAATTTTTTGTATTTTTAGTAGAGACGGGGTTCACTGTGTTGGCCAGGCTAAACTCCTGACCTCGGGCAATCCACCCACCTTGGCCTCCCAAAGTGCTGGGATTACAGGCATGAGCCACCGTGCCTGGCCCCTACCACATTTTTAAAAGGAGGTTAGACTTTTCTTGTCTCCAGAATGTACCAGTGACCCTTTCTCTGCCACCAGGGGCTCTTCTCACAGGAATGAACAAGTTCCTGTAATTCCAGGGTCGGGGAGGGTCATAATAAAGTTATATAAGTGATCTGGAAAAATTGATGTTTCTCTAAGCCAGCCATTCTTACTCATTATTTTGAATAATTTATGGTATTCATGTTTGTGGGTGACTTAGATTTGACCATGTATTTTAATACCCTGTTTTCCACTTGATCCCTAAAGTTAGGCTAGCTTACAGTTTATGCTTCGCACTGTAATAGCTATTTTAAAGAATTTCCTTATTGTTCTACCTGTGGTGTATTTTGCTGTAACTGCTCATTACTTGTGGATAACTTTACTTATACAGTTGCTGATTTTCTAAAAGATGTCGATGACTTCCATTTAATGCTCAGCCTTGTACAGAGGAAAATCAAACTGGCAATAATCAGCCCAGGAGCAGTCAGCTCAGGTTAAAGTATTGAGCTGCAGTGGTTTACGTGAGTCACTGAGTCGTGTGCTGAGTGAAGCGGCCTCCAGTAGAACTCAAGACATTCTACGTAAACTGTTTCCTACCATGCACTTGCAACTTCTGTGAGAGTAGTGGAACTTCAAGGGAGACAAGATCATTTTGTGAAATAATTTTCATAGAATTCAGTGCTGATGAACATCATCTGTATATCACCTGTGTTTGCATTTCGTTAGCCTTGCAACCTGCGTATAGCTTTGGAGCTGTACTGGTACTGTGTATAGTCGTCGTAGCTGATGTAGTAAACGAAGGATGAGCGGAATCATTGCAGCACCAAGCTCCATGGCAAGGGTCACCCGGCAGGACAAGGTGACCCCTCTGAATGAGATCCCAGCTGGCACTTTAGAGTGCCCTTTTCTTGCCTTCTTGCCTGTACTCTCCATCATCCCCATCACTGAGTTTCAGCATGGGTTGGGTTTTTTCTTTCCACAGGCTTGGCAATATTCGTTCCTAAGTGTTCATCTACTCTGGCGCTTTACCTTCTCCCTACCTGATTAGGTGTGAAAGGATCACATCCATTTCTCTTCTGCAGTGTCCTGCACGTTTCTCTTCCACATCCTTTGTCATGAATGCCCTTGACGTTCTGTCTTGCAATTCTGTCTCATCACCCTGTGTTTCCCTCTTTGGCATCCCCTCTGTTCCTCTGCACATCACTCACACTGGTGTACTGTCCTGGGCTGCAGCCACCCTGGGATTATGTCATCTCACTCCCTCTGTGTGCTCTCACAGACATATGGTGGGTACACATATGTGCACATTTGGGATGTCACGTATACATTGCTCAGCACCTTGGTTTTTTTTTTCTAACTTAGGGTCATTCTTCTGGGACATGTTAATAATTACATAATATTCAGTGACGTGGATGCACGACAGTGTTTATAATTTCCCCACATTCAAGGACTCTCCGCCCCCCCGCCATGCTCTTTTGACTCCGTACGCTATGCTGAAGTAACCATCCTGGTATAGCTGTCTTTCTATGATAGTGCTTTCATTCTTGTAGTCTAATGAACAAGCCCTGATTCTCAGCCAAGAAACTACAGCCCTTTGATTTATGGCAAATAAGTGCACAGTGGTGTCACTTGCTGGCCGGCTATGCCAGGGCCCTCCCCATGAGATAAAAGGAGAGGGATAGAACAATCCTTTCAGTCTTTGTTGTATGTATTCTAAAAATACACGAGGCCACCAGTACAGGGTTGGTGCAAGTCTTGGCAAATCTGCAATGGTCAGCATCAAAGTGGTTATTTTTAAAAGCATATTGAAACTTCTGCAGCTTACAATCATGTTCTTTATTTTAATGAAAAAAAACAGAGCCACTAGGAAGTTCTAGCTAATGGCTTTTTGGTATCACAAAGCAGTAGTGTATTCAGTCTATGATAAAAAGCTGTGAAATATTAAGCTAAGTCGCAGTTTCTAACTGGCTTCTTCATGACTTTTTTGTTGAGCTAGCGTTAAATGTACTCACAAGCATAGAACAGCAGAAGGCTGGTTTTGGCCTCGTGGCGAGCCCTTCCATGGTCTGTGTGTAGAAGCTGAGTCCTGCCCCCTCAACTAGCCGTGTGGGGTAGGAGGCAGGGTTGCGAATTACAAATGGAATCATCAGCACAGGTTGTTCTATGTGGTCAGTTGGCAAGAACACTTTAAAGAAACATTTCCAAAATGCCCTTGCACATAAATGTAACTAAATTACAGGTTGCCAGTCAATTTTCAAAAGAAGAGAGAATGGGCATTTTAATCAAATTTAGTGTTCTGTACTACACTCCTGAGTTTCCGCAGACTGATAGTACTGTTCACTGTGGCTGTATAAAGGTACCTGGATGGCCGGGCACAGTGGCCTGGAATCCCAGCACTTTGGGAGGCTGAGGCGGGTAGATCACCTGAGGTCAGCAGTTTGAGACCCACCTGACCAACATGGTGAAACCTTGTCTCTACTAAAATACAAAAATTAGCTGGGCGTGGTGGCAAGCACCTATATTCCCAGCTACTCGGGAGGAGGCAGGAGAATCACTTGATCCCGGGAGGCGGACATTGCAGTGAGCTAAAATTGTGCCACTGCACTCCAGCCTGGGCAACAGAGCGAGACTCTTTCTCAAAAAAAAAAAAAAAGAGAAAGAAAGAAAGTAACCTGGTTGCTAGAATTCACACAGCTTTAGGATTCAGTTCTGAGATGATCTATAGCACATCCATGTGATTTCAGTTTATCAGTTGCCTCCTAAGTGTCCTTTCTAGAGATTCAGTAACTGCAAAAATATCCTTAAGGTTTCTAGAGCTGAGTTTTCTGATGGGCTACCTCATTGCCTCTCCCAGAAAATAACTCAACAGGGAGCGGGGGAATGTAACAAATTCCCTTTAGTATTTCACGGATAGTTTAAACAATAATAGGTCAAAACTTGATAGCACATACTTTGCCAGAAATACTAATTGACCACAAACTTAGGTTACAACTTAGCTCAGCGGAGGAATCCATTGAAGGGCCCAGATCCACGTAGCCCTTTGTGTTGGCATCACCACTAGAGGAGGAGGGCTTCACTCAGGTTGCATGCTAATTCACAGATGTTTAATATTCATGAAATGATTAGGTCAGTGTTGATGTTTCTTCTGCTCCTGCTGAATCTCCACACCTGAATCCAGAATGCTCTATGATCCGAGTCTTTCTGTCTTTATAAACTATCTTTATGGAGCTTTAGGATTTTATCTCAGGAAATGTTAAGAAATGGTTGCTGCATTTTTAGCAGAAAGTTTTCTTACACGTAATCTAAAATCATCTGCTTCATGATCAATTACACAGGTGATCTTTCTCTGAAATGTGCTTTTAAGCTTGTGAGGTTAGCATATTGCTTCTCTGTTGGTGAGGTTTCCAAATTACCTGGCAGTGTCTTTGTTGGTGCTTTCTCTAATTTGAGATCCTGGGGTCCACCAAGGAACTCCACATGACCACCTTCACCAAAACACATTGTTGGTAGTGCCAGGGGAAGATGGCATAAGCACAGAAAGCAGGTGGGTTCAGAGGAAATTTGTATCCTCAGCCTAATAGCAAGAAAATGACACCTGCTAAAATACCTGGAGGGGCAGGAGAAGATCCTGGTTAGAGAAGGGAGTACCCTAAAGAGAGGCAGCTTCCTTTCGTAACCTCATGTGAGAGTTTATTTATTCATCCCTAAGGCATGTGCTCCTATACTTTTAGATTCTTCTAGGAGCCTTGGTGTAGCTGTGGTCAGCTTCTGGTTTCTCTTCTTTTCCCCACTTAGAGCTTGTTCTCAGGCACAGATCTTACATGCATTACCCATGCATCCAAGACCTCCTGGGACAGCCCTGATCACCAGCATCTGTCCCAGTGCCTCCATAAATTATCAACACATCCTTGGTTCCCAGTATTTCTCCATCCAGACTGCATTTCTTAGACCACTTCTCAGGGATCTTCTTGTGATCAAACGTGGACTGTCTAAATACAGTCACACTACACTGGACAGGTCTGAAATCCCAAAGACTGCCGAGCTTTGTTCACCTTCAAGGAAACACACTCCTGTCAGTGGCCTTGAGTGCACAGAGCCTCGGCTGTGAGGCTGGGTGCTGGGAGACATCCTGAGCACACAGATGACCTGGTGCTCCTCCAGGTTATATGCCACCATGTGACCGTCAGCATCCTGGAGAAGGGGCTCTTTTGGGATTTTAAAATTTTGCCCCAAAAGCTACAGTGTAAGGGTCCTAAACCGATGGAGGAATGTAAGACTCAGCTGAAAGAGCACCCCACAGGAGCTACAGCACAGAAGCATCCAGAGTGTCCCTCTCATACACAGCGACATTGGACAGTTGGAAATAACTTTAAGCTCTACCTGGTTTGGCAATGGAATTTAGCAGCTAGAACAGATTATAATGTTTTTCCCTTTCCCTGTGACCACCTTAGCAACCCTTTACATTTAAGACTATGGGGTCTTAGAACCAAGTTCTGTAAGAATTTAGACTCCACAACTGTGTGGGGTTCATTTGTAGATTTAAGCTATTGGAAATCCATTGCTGTTTTCCAGACATTTGGAAGTGTTTTCTGTGTAAATAGAACTAACTAACTTTGTCTAGAGAAAATAATTATCTGGGTGTACATTACTTTATTAAACTGATCAGAAAACAAATGCAAGGTATTAAATAATAATGATTTCTTGCACAAACAGCCATCAGTGGCCTATGTACATACCACGCCGGGTCTGCCTTCAGGCTGGGAAGAAAGAAAAGATGCTAAGGGGCGCACATACTATGTCAATCATAACAATCGAACCACAACTTGGACTCGACCTATCATGCAGGTACGAAGATCGTCCTCCAACTTAAAACTGCAGGCCGTAGATGCCACAGTGTCCGTGACCCACCTCCTTTCCTGATGTTTATGTGTTGCTCTCAAAGACCCATATTTGTCAAAGCTTTCTCACAAAGAAAATGCATCCCTTTAAATATAATAATAGCCTAGGGAAGAAATTTGGTTTTCAAATCAGTTTATCACTGAATATATTTTAAAAATGTGACGTGAAACATATTTTCAAAGCAAGAGCCTATTGCAGTGCGTAGCTTCTTCCCCATCCCACCCCCTTAATCCGAGGCTAGTTTTTATGCTGGGCTAGTGATTCATTTTTATCTCCCTTAAATGTGTTTCCCCATCCTTTCCCCCATCATTATGTTTAATTATTTCCTCCACGCTTTAAATAGGCCAGACCTCTTATTATTGCTGGTTGCGTTGTTGTTTGGGTTCGCGCTCCTAATCACACGCACAGGGAGAGACTCCTATGAAGCTAACTTGTTTTTGCCTCCAAAATAGCTTGCAGAAGATGGTGCATCCGGATCAACCACAAACAGTAACAACCATCTAATCGAGCCTCAGATCCGCCGGCCTCGTAGCCTCAGCTCGCCAACAGTAACTTTATCTGCCCCGCTGGAGGTGAGACGGCTACCTCATCTAAATGGACTCACTCTGTCCTGTGACTCCCCATTCTTTCTTCTCTCTTAACTCTGCCTTCAGTTTCGCAGCCACCTCCTCTCTCTGATCAGTCATTGTGTTGGTGGTGAAGGGTGTTCTCGTGCGACCTTTCTACCTGCTTCTCTGTCTCGCCCAGTTAACATTCCTGGACTCTCTCACCTGATTCTCATTCTCATTTGGCTGAGGCCATGGTGACTTGTGCTGGATGTGGGCAACTCTCTTTTCAGGACTTCCACCGTTCTTGTTGTGTTTCGCTCCTTTTTTGCCTGTTACCGCATTAGAATTGCATACTCCCTCTTTCAGATTCCAAGTGCTGATATTGAGTTGTTTAACATAGCTGTTGCTTTGATCATTTTTTTTTTTTTTTTTTTTTTTTTTTGGGCCCTTTTTTTTTTTTTTTTTTTTTTTTAGTGTCCTCCAGGAG